GCCTCGGAACTCCGCTGAGCGTCTAAGCGCAAAAGGACGTCGAGGAGTGAGAAGCAAAAGAAAAAGAGAAAGGGGCGAGAGGTGGTGGAGGGGAGGGAGGTGGCAGGTTGACGAAGAGAAGCGAGAGGGAGGAAGTGAAAGAGGAACCGTTGAGGATAGAAACTAAATACGTGTGGAGTAAGAGCAAGAGAGAAGCATAGAGTCAGTGGCAAAGGAGAACCGTGAGGTAAGAGGGGTGAACTGTGACGCGAGACGTCAACCTTGCTGACGGCAAAGCTGGGGTGGCATTCAGCCCTGAAAGCCAAAATAACTTCCTAAACTTTAACCTCCAGAGTATAAAAGTAGATGCCTCTTCTATCTGCTTGCGAGAATCTTGGTATCCGGCTTAAAGTCGGCGGCTTTCGGCATCGCTCCGATAAAAACACGTCATATCCGTGGATGGTTCTTACTCGAAACCGAACCGAATCTCATGGAGAAACGAAGGGAAGACCATCAGACGGAAGCGAAGGCTCCTCTTCTCTTTCGCTTTCGCCTCCACTTCCTTTCTCATGTTTACATATCGCCTACCGTCACTGAATTGAGACTTGTCGAACCGCTTCCTTCGGATCCTTCAGATCTCTCTATACTACTATATGTTTCAGATAGAACAGATACCTGCAAGATACCTTTACCCACCTATGTGAGAACCGTCCTGACGAGCCGATTGGGAGCCACGAGATAGAGATACGTACCTCCAAAAGAGGAATTCGCCATTTTCCTAAACGACGCGGCTGACGTAAGTCGATATAATCCGACTGGATTTAGCGGCGGATTTAACGAGTTGTATACGGTCCTCGACGGCTCAGGATGCTCAAATTGTTTCATCTCGGGTCGGGATACGAGCGTGAGGATGTTAATGCCGAAGGGACCGTTCGGAAACAAAACCCCGGGTCGGAAGGGGTCATATCCGTTGACCGTTCCTCTTGACGTTTTATTCGCACGCGCGTTTTACAAGGACGCTGCCTTTTCCCACGTGGTTGTAAAGCGATGCTAAAAAGTTTTAAAACCTACCCTCGAATAAAGAACGCTTCAAAGTGGTAGCTATTCATTCCCCGTAGAAGAAATATAGGCCTGATACAGATCATCAGTGATCATAATAGTACAGTCCTGAAACAATACGCAAGGGTTGTGCACGCCTACGCGCACCTATAGGCAGCGGCTATAACTGTAACGGTAAAAATCGTAACTCGATTTGCACTTGAAAAAGAGACAATAGGTCCCAAATTCAAGGGTTGTAACTGACACCCATTCGTCTATACAAATTGATCATTACTATTGGGTACCAATGGATTCCTTTTATTAGTTGATATATGAAACCTATAATAGTGCTTCAAAACTCCTTTCGTCCCAGATATCAAGTGTATGCTAGGAGTGTCTGTATGAAAAATCTTCCCGACGATCAGGAGCTGCTCTCCGTTCAGTGCTCCAGAGAATCCGACGTTCCCGTAGGACTCCGGGGATCGTTGGCGTGTAACATATGCTTTTATCTAAATTAAACAGTGTTGGCGCGATTTTCATTTCCTGGCCTGAAGCCGCTGATGTTATCCGCAGGATAGCGCGACGCGAACGCTAAGGGTTGGGAAAGGCTTTCCCTCCAGCCCGCCGCTTCCCTTGTCGACGAAACTCACCCTCACTCCTGTAAACCACCCCATCCGTACCTCTCAGCCCCGTCCACTACAGTAGGGTATATACCTATGCTTACTGCTACTATCTCCCCACATTCTAACCAATCCCTTCGTACTCTACCCACTTTCCTGTGCCTGTCTCCACGCCATCCGCACCCCCCTCCGCCCACCCTACCTCAACCCTCCTCGTCTCACCTCGAACTCCGTCAGCCCCGTCAAACTTCCAGATTATATTATACAAAAGCGGAGATACAGCTCTCCATTTCCAAGCGCGAGCGATTGGGAGACCAAGCAAGTTCAGCAATTGCGGTCTCGACGAAGCGGAGGACGAGTCAACGGGAAGAAGACCCTCTTGCTATACGACGATCAGCTAATTAGAAAGGGCTTATCCGTTCAGATTTAAGACTGTCGATATTAAAATACCAATCCCTTCTTTATATAGTACAGGAGAAAGAGGAATCGGCTCCGGGCCTGGTCGATTCGACAGCTTACAGCGCGAGCGGGGGCCTGTTCCCCACTCACGTTCCTGGGACTTATTTAACGCTTGTCTAGGAGATCGATGTCGTCAAGAGTCAACAGGACTTCTCGGAGCGTGGCACCGTAAAGCCGACCCTGTTCCACGTAAACACCTTATCAGCCTAGACTAATCCCTTCGGAGGATCTTCCTCGTCCAGTGCACCGTACATAATTTATGGAGCAGAAACCTTTTAAGTATGGGATTAGTATGGAAAACCCGACTTGCCGATCGGTGTAGATTATTGTCCCTGGAAATTGTACTATGGGTTACGAGAAAATATAATACGATGCTTAAGGGTTGACAATGTCTTGGGACTTCGATATAAGTAGAAAAATTCAGTAGTCAGGGTATTTTTAATACCCGATCATCGACTGAACGCTGTAATGTATTATTCGAATTTCCTAATCTTGCACGCGACTAGAATTATTTAATCCAGACGGTAAATCCTTCTGCTATGAAATACTTTGATTTTCAATTTCCTGTGTATTATGTATAGTCACGGTAATTGGAAATTTGCCGTAACCGGTGGAAGCATACTATACACGCTTTTTTCACGTATAAAAGCATTTCTATTGTGTGAGATATATCAAACGAAAGGAATGGATGCGCGTGCGCGAATTGGCTCACTGAAACGTGCCTCGTGCGCAAAAAGTTGATTGCAAGAAAAGAATTAGCGGAAGAAACAAGGCGCGCCCGTTTTTATCGTATTTTTTTTTTCGGTGATCTTTGTCTAGGAAACACCGTACTGGAAAAAGTGGAAGGGTGTCTCGGCGAAGAGGGTGAGGGTCCGAGGAGCGGTGGCGCGGATCCACAGACAGCTCTCGCGCGGATCGAGAATGGCTGATTCCGAGTAGAGGAAGTTAAGGTCTGGGGGATTGCTGCGAGGGAAGAAAAGGGAAAAAGAGGATAGTTGGTTTGGGGTGAAGCTCCTGGATAAGGGAATGGAAGAGATCGGAGAACCCGAGGAACGGTTGGACAGGATGACGCTGATCAATCTCCTGTTTTCGAATCCCGACTCCTGGACCACTTCTTTCTCATTCGACAAGGGCTCCTTCTTTCTTTCTTTACTAACTTTTATTCTTCTCTCTGACCCTACTTCCTACCCTCCTACGCTCTTCGCCACTTCGTTTCGGCACCCTTGTACCGTTTCATTACCTTATAGACAAAATTGACCTGTATCACCTAAGACGTTCGTAAGCATAATCAACTCTAAGCTAGATCAAGTCCAGTGGATTTTTGGGAAAATTCTGATTTTACTTTGTAATTTGAAGTATAGCGTAATTATGATTGTTAGAAAAAAATTCACGTTAAATAGTGGAAAATACATAACAAATTTTTTGTTAATAAAATATTATAAAGATACAGCGCTTTTGTTTACTGATAAGTGGTAACTATAGAGTTAATTACGAATTACGTCAATTCTTTAAATTTAGTAAAAGTCATAATGCAGATTGCCAAGAGGTAATTTCCCAGGTAGGACTAGGCACGCAGGTAGGCGCTTACATGCTGCAGCATAGTGATGGTGCAATGTCGACCGAATGTTCCTGCATCGCAGCCACTGAAAACGGGGAAAATCAGAGCCGCTGGCGATTGAACGTGACTATGAGGATCGAAATATTTGTTACACACAGGTCTCCTTGTATATTCTAGTGTCGCATCATCACAAGAATTTACATAGTCTCATCGCTAAGATATGCATCCGCATTATATTTTCTGCTCAAAATATTATAATAATTTGAATGAGCACAGCAGCATTACCACGATACTTAAAAGTACTATGCACCAACTTAGAGTGCTCAAAATAGATATCGCCTTTTTAAAATTACCTAATTAAACCCAAAAATTTGAAAATAAAATGTAATTTCCCATGAACGTAAGATCGCGAATAATTTAATGATTGGAATATTAATGAATGTCATAAATGTTCATTTGAGTTTTTTAAACAATTTCTTCGGATTGTCTGGTAGTGGGTTGACTGTAAGAACAAGAATGGTACATAGCTGATCGTTGGGGTGGACAACCTCGAAGGTCATACCCCGAGGCAACAGTCACATTCACCTTAGTCACTGAACTTTTGGAGTTCTTAGACCTGTCATCGGCAAGAGATAGCTAGAAGACAGCGGTCGTACGTATTTTTGATAGTGGCGTACATTCAGTCCGAACCTGCTACACCGTGTTGGACAGTTAGTTAGTATTTTTCCGAAAGACTCGCGCAGTTCGAGTCCGCACTGAAATCTTCGAGCCAAAGGCAGGTTACCGTTATCCATCCTGAAACCCCGTTACACACGGTATAAATCTTTATCGTCTTACTAAGTCAAGAGGTAAACATTAACTAAAATAAGATTACGTTGCATTACCCAACTTCACATGAACTGGCTCAAAGGAACGTGACGCAAAGGAGTATCTAAAAAAATATTAATAAAAAAAATACAGTTACGTATTTACGTAAGTAAAATTAAAAAAGATCCTGATCACCACCACTTGTAAAATAGTAAATCGGCGAATAAGTTGGTGAATAATAAAAAATATATTCGTTGGTTAATACGCGAAGTGCTGTACGTTTGTTGAAAGACCAAATCCAAAAATCCAAGTAGCGCGAAGCAATTTTGAAATTGAGTGATTTCACAAAAGGACCTTGGTTCCGCAAGAAAACTTGAGGTGCCGCCAGACCCTGAGCTATCGGTAAGTCGTCGCAGGTGGGCACAGAGGCCCCACACAGAGTCTAGAGGGCGGGCCCTATGGCCAAAGGGTTATTGTCTACTATAAGCTAATTGAGTAGCGATTGGTCGAACCGAGCGATAAGCGAAAACCTACAAATTGGCAAGAAACCAAAGAGTAAGATGTCAGTCGATGAACAGTCTTCGAACCGTGAACATCGAACTTTAGAATCAAGTGTCATGCCCGGTGTCAGCTACGAAAATTTGGAGTTTAGTCAAACCGTCAGTTCACCGGATGAAGCCATGACACTCGCGGACTTCGTGCATGATGGACCGAGAAAACAAGACAGTGTGCGTGGATCTATCGAAGAATCGGCATATCCAGTGTCGCCAGCTAGTGTCGATTCAGCTGCCTCTTCAAGCAGTTGGAATGGATTCAATGGCTTTCGAAACAATCAAAGTCTGTACAACACTACTCAGGGAAATTATACATGGTCACCCGAGCAACCAATGGGGCAGTTGTCCATTGCCGATCTTCAACAGCAACAGCAAATACAAATTCACCAGCAACGTCTGTTACAACAGCAACAACAGTTGCAACAGCAGCAACAATTTCAACAGCAGCAACCGCAAGCACATCCCCAATTGACACAGCAGCCAGAGTTGAGACAGCTGCAACAACAGCAGCTACAGTCGCAACAGCAACAACCTGAACTACAGAATATCCAACAGCAACTTCAGCAACCGCAACAGCAACCTGAGCTGCAACGGCTTCATCAGCAATTACAAACACAGCAACATCAATCTGAACAACAACAACGCCAACGACAATCTACCACGGCTGGCCCGTCGACAACTCAAGGTTAGTTTCTTAATCAATTACAATTCTCATATTAACAAAACCATTTCTCGTTCAATTTTATAAATGTCTCTGTACCATTATTCCATCTTCTCGAGCGAGTATCGAACATTATTTCTAAACAACAGTAACAAGTTACGCGTCATTTCACGGAATCCTTAACATTTCCTCTAATGAGTGCATATTTAATACAAGACATTCATGTGTATCATACGTGATCAAGGAAATAGCATGCGACCATTAATACAAACTATTAATTAAAATAATATCCGATGAATCATTACGGGTCAATCCATTAAACAAAAAACATTCCACAATCTTAAGGTATACAATAACAGAACATTAGGTGCTATACAACACAACAAACAACATTCGTAAACTATTCTACAATCGTAGAATATACAATAATACAGCGAATGATAAATTTCCCTCAGAAACGATTTTCACAACAGTCACACCCGTCAGTAGTTACAGAAGGAAAAAAAAAGCAAAATCTGTATTTATCTTCGTATACATAAAAGGTGCGACTCCGAGCTCCGAATAGAATACGGTCGATTGATATATTCAATCGAAATACTAGGCGTCCCGCGAGGACGAAGGAAGGAAGGAAGGAAGGATGACCGAAGGGATGGATAGAAGGAAGGAAGGTCCTTCGCAAATCGCCCACGTTGTAGACATCACTGAATTGAGTTTGATTAACGAGCGGGCCATTTAGCCGACTTTAGACTCGGGGGGATTATAAAACGACGCGCGGCCCGTTTACCCCCCCCCCCCC